ATCTCTAAATGTTAAGAGTTTAACTATTTAAAGTTAAGAATTCCGTACAGTTATGCATCTTGCCAGGGCATTTAAAAAGAAACTGTATTAAGAAAGATAATTTGGAGATGGAAACATATTTTATTAGTTATAAGCAAAATTTAGCATAAGGATTACAAAACTGATGTGCTTAAAAAGGACTAATAATGAGCAACCAGGTCTTTCACCTTACCTTTACATACCTCTTCTTTCTTGCCAAAGTTAATTATACATGAGATTCTAGTTAATTTTACATTGAAAGCTTCCCCCATAGTTGAGTTAAAACAGAAAATCATACAAGAATTGACTTTAGTGAGCATTTACTGAGGGAAAAAACCACTCCATGTGGTATTAATTAAAGGCTTACTTCTTACAGGCACTGGGAGCCTTTAACCAAAAATAAATAAATAAATAAATAGAGAGAGAGAGAGAGAGAGAGAGAGATGAAAGTAGTTTTAAAAAAGCAGTCTGAACCTCTCTCGATGCTGAGCCAGCATGATATTTATGTTGGGTTAGAAGGATCAAGCAGGCTACAGCTCAGGTCTGAAATGCCAAAATAATAATGAAATAAATCAAAAATGCCCATGTCTTAAGTCTACTTCAAAACCTATAAAGATTTTCTGGGTTTTCTGTAAGTCAAATGATGCCTAAAAATTTCGTGGAAGGAGACAAACACTTTAAGAGGCAACGTTAATCAAACTAAATTAAAGATAAGCATGTGTCTAATGGCAGTATTCACTTTGATTATTTCAATCCTGTCAGTGAGAAAGATAGGCAATTAAGATCATTTATAAAGGATTTGGGCAGAGTGTTGCATGATGTTCAAAGTACTTACTGTAATGAAGTTTAGTTAAAATGTTTTCTATTAACTTTCTAGGCACAGGTAATTTCTTGCAGCACATATTTTTATAACAGAAATGTTAATAACCAACAGCATTATTTTCAGCTGCCAACTGTAATGGCAGGATCATCTAGAGTGTGGAACATGTTAGTGTGAAGGAAACATGATTCACTCTAAGACAGGTGAAGGATGTCCTTCCAGGTAGACAAAAAGTTTTACTCCGAGTAAATAATCACAGTTGCTTAATACTAAGAAAATCTCTGGCAAATATGACCATCCTAGTATGTAAAACTAGTAAGCACACATGGAAGTGGGAGATCTTATCCCAGAACTTCAATTCATAGAGAAGGCAGTGGAGTCAAAGCAATCACAAGTGTAGTACACCTTGACTCATCCAATAAAGTTGTCACCAAAGCCAACTTTTATATAATAAAGAAAATGGAGAAGACAGCTAGGTTCTGTGAAATGCTTTCTCAGCACCAAGCAGGGTACTGACTGCTAAAGTATTTGACACTCGTTTGATGGATGAAAGGGAAAATTACATGTCAGTAATTCCTGCTGTCATACTCCTCAATACCTACCCCAATACCAGAGACATTCAAGGGCAAACATGATGGTTCCTTCTACCAGAAAATAAGGAGGCAAAAGAACAATCAATAAATTCATGGATCAGAAAGTCTCAGTTGAATTCCTTCCTTTAGAGAGCCACATACAAAGGAGTTCAGGATAATGACAGAAACAACCAGAGAGGATGATAGAATATTTAGGTGCAATCGGGTCTCTGAAAGGAGAAAGGTAGATGAGAAGACAGGGTGGATGAGAAAAGACAGGGCTATGAAGAGAAAATAAGCAGTAAGTAGCTTTCCACTTTAATTTTCTCTTTTCTCTGATCCTAAAACAAGCAGCAGGACCTTCTATGGAGCTGACATTACCTTGTTGTATCATTCATAAGATCTAACGCCTCAAGAACTCACATCCAGCTGCTGTTCATTTTTGATGGCATGGAGAGACATCCAAAAAGTTGCATGGTATGCTTCTAACAAAGAAATCTCATCTCTTTCTAAGTCATGAAACAGCAACAGCCAAGGTATTCACAAACAAATAACTACTTTGAGTACACAAGATTAAGCAATATTCTCTGATCTCTGGGGAGAACAGTTTGCAGTGCCAGATTTCTTTTTAAAATACTCTTGACAACAACAAAACAAAAACAAAACAAAACAAAAACACAATGGTTTAAACTTCAAAGACCTTGAAGAATGAGATTTTGGAGTAAGATTTTGAAACAGTTCAGAGTAAGAATTTCAAAAACATTTTGGGGATAGGCAATGCAAAAGGCTGAAATGGGAAGCATGGTGAATTCATTACTGCTGCAAATGTCTCATGACCATGCAGGAGGGAACATAATTCTTAAAAATCAAAGTCAGCTTCACCTTCAAGAAGTAAAAGGTAATATGCAAGGACTTAGTTTTTAGCTGAGGGAAGGGCGACTTTCTAACTTTGATCTGAATTAACTTAATTTTAAAAAGGACACTAAGACCATGTGCTGGGACCATGAAGGGTCTCAGCACAGAAAGCTCATTTTCCTGTTTTGAAACAAGTGAAACTTTGCCCATATCCTCAGGGGAGTTCTCAGGTACCTTATAGTAACTGCAACAGAAGCCTCTGTCAGAATGATTCTGTTCATTCTTCATATCGTTCACTCAACATTTCAACAGGAGGATCCAGGGCATAAGGATGGAGAGAATTTGTTGAGGACTAGACTTCCTTTCTCATTATGTAGCCTGATGAAGTATGTAAATGCCTTGTGGACAACACAAGAAATTCTAAACCTCCTGAGAGGTTCAGTGAGGTGTAACAGCTCACGCTCCATGGCAGTTTGGGCGATCTTGCTACCTATCCATCGTTCCTGGGGTGTGGAGCTTATAAAACCTTTAAGGAAAAACTGATAATCAAGAACTTTAGAAAAGGATAAAGTGTTTACACAAGCTAGCAAACCTAGAGAAAAGATACCAAGACTGTGAATGCCAAAGAAGATGCACACTGGAAAAAAAAAAAAAAAAAAAAAAAAAAAAAAAGAGCTCGGTTTGACTAAAAGAGAAGCATCTTTAGAAAAGCAGTCGCAAAATTTTAGGAGCTTATGGAGTTTAAATGGTAAAAGCTCATGTGCCTGTGGCCTATAAGCACTGAGCAAGTTAGGTAGGAAGTTGAAGAGAGATCAATTTGATTAAGATATATCTATATTGCCCAAGTTGCATTTCTAAACAAAAGTTCTTTTTTCAGGAATTGACTTTCAGTCTTTGGTGTCTACACTTGTCCGAAAGAAAATGTGACAAATGTTCTACAAGAAACTGAAAAGAAGGTGTATTTGACATTTTAATCCATGGATTTCTTGAGGAAAATTTCAGGGATAAAATTTCAAAACTACAAGATACAGAAATTAACTGTCTAACTTTCCTCATTCTTTAGAAAGAAAGAGGATTTTGGCGTATTACTCTTGTTTTTCCTGATGCAAAAAGCTCTGTCATCATACATCACAGCATCTTTTATTTTTATTTCACAGGTATGAATAACTGCCAACAAAACACATACAAAATGCTGGAATATTGTTCTGTTAAACCATCGTTATAGAAAATAAGTTCTGTAGTTCTTGTTTTTGTAACTGATTCATGAAGCTTGTACTGTGTCCTTTTTTTAAAAAAAATAACTAAGTTTGTTTGCAACAGCTTTTCTTCTTATAAAGGCTCACTTTTTATTTGTTCAACTTTATAAATGTCAGTATGATCTAAACATCAAATGCACTTTATACCAATAACAAAAATATCCAGCAAGCCAAATTCCAGTAACAGCAGGTTTTGCTTCCTCTTCTTACAATCTCTGTAATAAGGTTAAAACATTGACTTCTACTGTAGTCTGCAAAAAAAATACATCATGTTTAAATGCTTAAGTCATCAATTGTTCCATCTTGTCACTATTTTTCTTATTATTTAAATATGTCAGTACGGTTATTTTGATTGCAAAGGCCAAAGTTTATGTCTACCTTCCTTTTGATTTAGGGAAAAAATTGACAGGTGGGTATTTCTCCAGGCATAGCAATATTACCATAGCCAATTCTAATTTATGCAGCACGTGTGTCTAATTTCTGAGTTCAACCTATTTGTTTTGCCTGTATTCTGCTAAGACGTAAGGATTTCACATGACGGGTGTGTCATTTGCGTAACAGTGAATGTTATATTCATTCCACAGAAATCTCAAGCAAATATTCTACATTCCAAATGACTTCTAAAACAATGTTATTCTGCATTTGTTAAACTGATTATGTGATGAACAAATGATGGATGATTTAAAGATAAATTTCAGTGTATAAACATTGTCATCTATGACATTTCACTATGCTAAAATCATACAGGCCTGCCAGATTTCATTGCATTTATAATTAGAATGATTACATTTTAATTCAGGATGTGTTTTTCGTAAAGATGAAGAGAATGAGTTTTAATACAGCCAAAGCCAGGTGAAGCCAATATGTTTACCTATACAAGACAAATGTCAGTTCAAATAAAGATTTATTTTTCTATTTCATAATGCAATTATAAACCTAAATTGACACCTAGAAGAAGAAAAAATACTACAAAGGATTCAACCTTCACAGAAGCATAAGTAAAATAACCTGTATACAACAATAAGAGTAAACTTAGGGAGAGGAGAACAGAATACTGTAAATATATACATAATATATATATATATATATATATATATGTTCAATTTCATAGTATGTTTTAGCCAAACATCTCTTTCTCATTTTTGTTATGCTCATGGACTAAATTCAATATTCTGTCCATTTTCAAAAATGGTCCATGTTAAATCATAACTGCTTTAATCCAAAATGTTTTTCAGCAGAGAGACAGTAGTTATTTTAACACTGGGTTATGATAGACATGACCTTATTTCTTTTGTAATAAATTGCAGATTACACTTTTGGAATACTGTCAAATTATTTCACACCTTGTGATTTTGCTTTATTGGACATCTGATACTTTCATGCATCATTTGGTATTTTTCAGCAGTCCCCGTCTATAACAGAAGCAGGAGAGAAACCTTTCTGTGGAGTTTCAAAATTAATGAAATAAAACAAACATACCATGTTCCATCCTGGGTAGAGGTAGTCTGTCCCGACAAATTCAAAATAGTGAGCAAAACCCTCTTTCAACCACACATCCTCCCACCAAACTGGAGTCACAAGGTCACCAAACCACTGCAAAGAAAGTTCAGTTAAAAAAAAAAAAAAGAATTAGAAAATGTTTGCATACATTTTATTTATACAGAGCAGATTCTTCACGACTTTCAATTCATACCAACCATTGAAACTTACCAAACTTTTTTCGTATAATAATGAACAAAGCTTTTTTTACAGGATGCACCTAAGTTACTTAAGTAAAATATTAGAAAAGGGCTAGCAGGGGAAAAGAAGCATTGCAGAGAGTATTCACAGCATTAATTTAGTTTTCTAAAGTATTCTCATCTCAGTTTAAGCAACAGATAATGGAGAGAAAAATGCTTCTAGCTCAAGTAAGCCGATTCATCACCTGGAAACTTCACTATGTATACTGCAAATCTTTAAAAACTGGGAACACAACCTCCCTATCCCAGACATTTCTTCCTCTGCAAGGCTGGCCTGCCTGCTAGGATTTACATTATTGATTGTCAATGGCAAGTTTCCTAAGGAAAGCTGTTTCATGCAATCCTGCCATATCTCACAACTGCCTCAAAGCAGGCACTTGATGCCACATAAAGAGTGCTCCAGGGTATGTGAGGTAACTACAACAGACCTAGGAAATTTCATACAGGGTTTACTGCCCTACAGCCTGGATGTGCAGCCTTTCTTAATACCAATCAGAGATGCAGGGTACCTAAAATAGTAACCAAAAGAATCATACCCAGTCTGACTGCCACTCACATTCCCCCTCGTAACTCTTGAACTTCCTGACTGACTTCAACTCAATTTAGAGAAAAGGACAGAGATCTCCAAGATAACTCCTACAAAACTACATGAAGATCAGCAGCCGAAAAGAGAAGGACCTAAAACGAGGGCAAGGCAAGAACCTGCTAGCCATTAGATACTCTGCTCAGTAGCAGTTAACAGGGCAAACAGCTGGGGTGTAGCCATAAACCCTTCATGACAGAGGACGTGAGGTAAAATCCCTTATAGGGATTTTAGACAGAGATGGGATCATCACTGGAATGAGGCCAAAAGTTCACAGGTAATCAGGCTTCATCAGTTCCACTGCTCATGGACCACCTTGTCCAAATTACTGGAATGGCCCTGGGCAACCTGAACTATCTTAACACGAGTGGTAAGAGTAGAAACACTCACATTATTATGAAAACTTATTTCATAATCTCTGTAGAATCTTTTTGTTTTGTTTTGTTTTCCCAGAAACCAAACCTTGTTTCAGAAAAAAAAAAAAATCTCTATTTTTTTTAATGTGAATAAAAAGAGATTAATTCACAATCAAGAGATAATTTTGTAAACTCAAAAATAAATGGAAAGGGATCTGCAAATAAGTATTCCAGGGGGAGAAAGACATGTCAGAGCACAGGCGCTGCTGTTGACACTAATGAGAGTGGAGAATGAAGAACCATGGAGTTGGCCAAGTAAGCAGGTTCCTTTTATGATGATTGGCGTATTTGAAGGCTTTGTCTGGGATCTCAATGAAAGGTCTTGCTTCTGTGCACATCTTTGTTGAGGGAGAATAGCGCCCAGGGAGGATCAATGCCACAACTAAGATCCTTTGTGAAAACAGGAGCTCCAGAGAACAGACTACAGAAACTGAGATTATCAGATTGCTGCACAATGTTCAGTAAATAGGATTTGAAGGAAAAATGAAGCGAAACATGAAAATGAATGCCTGTGACAAGCAATTGAAGAATTTAGGGAGAGAAGATGGGGTTGACAAAAGTCATATTCACATGGCAAGTGAAACTAAACTTAATGGACACTCGAACATAATCTAGATGAAGGCTATCAAATTAACCCTCTACAGGACCAAAACAGACAGAGCCTCATTTTAAGACCATTTACTTGAAAAGATAAAGAACTAATGGAAATGCATTCATATATATATAATGCACTTCCCACAAATTGAAAAGTTGGAGTAACATACTACCAGAGTAATATGAAAGTGCTATTTAAACTAGAATAGCTTGAGTAAATAATTTCTAATGATAAACAGGCTACACAATATCACAGTGTTTATTTCTTGAATTACAAGAGGACTGCTGAACAAATATGAAACCAGTAACAGACAGGGTATGCTACAAGTGTACAGAGAGAGATTTAAAAAATAGAAGTTACAAAGTTCATGATACACATTCTTGTAACTCAAAATAATTAATTTTTTTTTAAATAAAACAGTGAATTATGTTAGATTAAAATACATCTGATTTAAGCAGGAACATAGTTGTTCCTGCTTCTTATCTAGAAATGGAAAATATTAATTTTGTTGTATTCACAATTTATGATGCCACAACAGAGGATTTCTTATATTCCTCTATGAGTTGACTATATTTATTTAGTAATGACACGATTAAAAGTTTTCATTTAATCATCTATCTAAAAGAAAAAATATTTTTACAAGTATTAAAACAGCATATGATACCAATGTGAAAATGTAGGGAATTTTTCTAAATAGTCTTGAATACTATTATATTTCAGAGTTGGAGCATAACCAGAGACTGCAATTAATGAAGCCCAATTTTCAAGCAGAAATGCTCTATTATCTTCCTAGGTGTTACACGTCTGAAAGGAAAACACTAAATTAAGTCTTTCATTTAAGTAATTGCTTATTTATTTATTTGTGTATTTGAAGAGGGATGCTATTTGCCCTGAGTGAAGATTTTTTTTTCCATTTTGGAAAGAAAAATGAATTTAAATGTATTGATTAAATAAATTGCTCGTTTCCCTCAGATATTGTGTTCATAGAAGGCTTTTATCCTCATTACAGACACAAAGAAAAGGTATTCCTTCCTATGTTCTTTCTTTACAAATTAATTTTTAAAATATGGTTTGGGAATTTTTACCTTTCCCTATGCATTCATGTGTGTTTAACGTAGGTTTTGTGCTCAAGTGGGAGAACTAACAAAAACATCATTCAAATGACTCTTTCTTCAAAGGCTGTAGGTGGAACTGATCTGTGATATGCAAATAAAATGGATTGCTGCTATAACAGAACTATTTTAATAAATTATGGTAATTATTTGGAGCTATTAACTTAAGATGCTATAAATACGCGTGTATTGACTAATATCTCATTTGTGTTCTGGGGCTTGGAGGGAAAGCTTTTATGCTGAAACACTCCTTTTGCCAATTATTAATTTTTAATTAAATATGTGAAATTGTCTAAAAGAACACTCAAGCTGTAATATCAAGCACTAATAACCTAAAAATGACAAAACTAAAACTATCTGTGCAACTTTAATAGATCCTTCCTAAAACATGTTCCTAAAATAACAATCTAGTGAAGCATTACAAAGTCACCTGTGAAGAAATCAGGCATAAAATTCTTTCTTATATGCTTTGTACCTGTATTTTGACAACCACAGAATTTCTTTGTTCTTCTGTGATGCTGTCTTCTCTGTTTGAACACTGCAGTCCACCACTAAAAGCACTCAAGTACTGATGCCCAACAGGTTTGAGAATACCAATTTTACAGTCCTATCTAAAGCTAACAATCCCAATTCTTAACATTCATCCAATTCTTCTAATCTTGGGTACAACACTGGTACAACATTTGCTGTGTTACCCTAAGCAACAAGGGTCTCATATAGGACAGTTAGGTACTACACTAAGATATGTGCTGTATGTTTCCAAGTTATGGGTTTAAAATCAGGGGGCACTCTGTGATGAAACAGGCAATGATACAGTTTTTTTAAAAGGGAAAAAATGTATTTCAGTGGAGTTCCTGTTACTCTTAAATTTAAAAATAAATAAAAAGTAAAGCTTGAGATGTAGAATGTACTTTTCACTATGCCAGTAGTGATTTTGCTTAATCTCTGTCATTTAACATGTAAAAATGAATAAAGGGAAGGCATATTCCTGTGCCACCCAAAATTAGCAGACTATGCTATGCACAGCAAACAAGGATAAAAATGCAGTAGAGAAGCAGCAGAGGTAAGACATCCTGAACCCAACCTCGCCTCAGTTCAGTACACGTTCAGCTAAGTTAATATCATTTATAGCTTCTGCTCTATGTCAGCCAGACTTAAAGATTCCTTGAGAGGCTTATGGGTATGGTAAGATAAAAGCAGAAAACTGGCTAAATAAAGACAATACTGAGTTGGCAGTGTTGGTGTTTTACAGCATGTTATTTGGGAGGGATTCTCCCCTTAAACTTTATTTGCAGATGAACAATTCATATTCTCTGTGATTCAATTCTGCATCTAGAGCAGAAATAATATTTCTTCCACTTGAGTATTTTCTATCATATCTGTTTCTCCAGTATGGTACTGAAACAGAAACAGCAGCAACATAAACGAAGGAAGATACTAACTACATGAACAGCACTGGGATTACTATGAACAGGGACACCAAGTAAAACTTCTCATTTGCACTTCTAAGGTCACTTAAGAGCACACAGCTTCCCTAAAATAAACTCAAATACGGTTTTCACCCACTTCAATGTCCTCTGATATTCCCAAAATGATGTGAAAAAGGCTCAGTAAGAATCTGTTTCAATGAGAATCAGATAAATTTGGCAAGTTACTGATGTGGTAACTGTCCACATATAAAGTATAAATAGCTTTGGAAAGAGAAGAAATTACTAAAGCACTGCAAAGAATAATTGAAAGTAATGGATTGACTTCAGAAAAACTAAAACTTAAGCTGAATAATGCAAGGGAAAAGTTATTGACCACCAAATTTAATCAGCCATTGAAAAGGTTCTGAGAGAAGTGTCAGAAATCCTGTAATCAGGAACGCTGAACCCAGCACTAGAAAAACACACTACATGGAATAAGGTATTTCTACCAGGAGCTGGGACTTGATGACCTAATATGTGTTTTCCACACCTGATTCCCAAGGCACTGTGATTTTTCTGGCTGAATGGTGCACTATTCTATTGTACTGCACAATAAAGAGCATATAACAAAATAAGATGTTCACACTGAGAACAAACCAGCAATAACTATCAATAAAAATGTCATGTTTTAGTTGAGGACTTAATATTCATCCACAGATTTAACGTGAAACATGAATATGAACCAAACATTATTATTTCCAGGTTCATCTACCAGAACTCTATTACAAAGGCTCCCTTCTATGTGGTACTTTTCATTTGCAGAAAGTGTTAAGAATTTGCATTGCCTTTTAAAGAATACTGTGTAAAGTCACAGATGTAAGCCATGCTGATTACACAGTAGGATTTCATTCATTTTAACCTGAAGGCTATGATTATGCCTGTTATGAGTGCAAGAAAGGGTTTCCTGGCCCTCTAGCACATTTCTTCAATAAAATTTGCCTTCGACTCAATATTACTAGACACTCATAATGTGTTTAGTTGGAGATAAGAAGATGGAAGAATTGTAAATTATAATAATATGAGTTTATTACAAAGTTTTCTTATTGATACAAAGATTTCTGTACATACAAAGACTCAATTATCCATGAGTGAAGAGAGGGTTAATACCAAATGTTAAAAAAAAAACAAAAAGAAAGGAAAAGAAAGTATGTGTATATGTGATGGAAGAAGGGTAAGATGAGTAAGACTAACAAATTGATTTCAACCAAAACATTTTTTGACATGAACATGAAACTCAGCGTGAATCTGCTATAGTTCTGCAATAAATCATTTTCTACAGTTATCAATGTGTATAGTCTAAACAACACGCTCTGAAGCAAAGAATATAGTGGTACAGAAGATAGGCAAGTTGTTCATTACTACTAATTTTCTTTTTTATCTCCATTCTGACTCCTCCTAGTTTCTGCATTTTAGTGAGGTATCTTACAAGTCCCAGTATTATTTGGACTACAATCACAACAAAAGTTGCACCTGCCTGTGCAAATGAATTTTCAGCTTGGAAAAGTAAAGCATGGTTTCTGACATTAATACCAAATATCTGAACACCTATAATACCTGATGACATAGCTCATGTACAATGACCATGGTGACATCCAGCAGGTATGATATAGAAGAAATGCTTGGATCTAGCAGTATCCTTTGTTCCACAAAAACACTCAGTCCCCAGTTCTCCATAGCAGCATATGGATGTTTAGGCACAGCTAACAGATCTGGAAATAGAGAAAATATATGTTAACTGCTTGTGGGAGCTACTGTGCTGAGGAGCTATTGTAGGTAAGGCCATAAACTATAATTAGAAAATATTTTAAATAACATATATGTAAAAAAATAACTGTTAATTTCAGCTCTCTAACAGTATTATTTATGAAACATTAATAACATTATTTTTGTTCTTATATCACTATCTGTTCAAACATATTTAAGGATTACTACATTACTGCTGTAACACAGTATTTAGTATTTCTAATAGAAGGTCTCCATACAGAATCTGGTTTGTTTTAAAATACCTGGTTGTCGATTTACTTTTGAGTTTGATACCTACTTCTTATGTTTACTCTACCATAATCAATGCAGTAACACAGACTTTTACCGAAAGTATCGTTTATCTTTTCATTAGAGTGACTCCTTTATGAAAATTATACAAGTCAAACTGTATGTAAGGATAACATCAAGGGGAGCACTGAAGAAATGCTGTTTCACAACAGTCAGAAAGATGGCAAACTGTTCGGAACCACCAGTTCTTGCAAAACAAGGAATCTTTCAGTATGCAATATTGCTAGCACACATCTTCTGAGGATGGGACTGTTAACAAACACCTCTCAGCTCTAAAGGCTGGAACCATGGTGATACATGCAAACTTGGAAGTATTGCTTCAGCCTAGTATTCAAAAAGTGGTAAAATATTACTTTTTAGAAGTTAGGGAAGAAGACGGGAGGTCCTTCAGCTTATTAAAAAGTAAAAAATAAAAGAGTGGTGGGGAATTTCTCTCACTGGCAAGAGGTTCAACAATACAATATTCCAATGCCTAGCCACATGCTAGAAAAATCTTACTGGAAAAGGCTAAGAAGGAACTCAAATTGACCATCAGCCTGGAGATAAATCTGTTCTTACAGTAAATACATACATAAGGAATAAACAAATATGCAGTGCTATTCCACAGCAAAATACCTGAAAGAGACTAGAAACAGCTTGTACCTCTGTAAGAAGCCCAGTGCAACCCATGTACAAATCAGCCAGAATTCTGGAAGCTATAATGTCACATCAGCATGGTGCTCCTTTCAGTTGAACTAATTAGCCTGGCCTCTTAATTAATTAGCCTGGCTGTCGCACTCCTTTCATTTGGCTACACTGCTTCAAAGCTAGTTCATTCATAATTAACACAAGTAGATCTAGGTAATGCTTCACTGTGTGGGATGAATGGTCACTGGGTTGACTTATCCACCTGAGGAAGAAAAATTCTGACCTGCTTATAAGCAGCAATTCTATTACAGCAGACACATCTCCTAACTTTGTTTGGGGTTGCTGATACATGTGGTAGAATTGGCTTGGAGAACAACCTGACAGCAGGAGCTCTCCTTCAGGATTCACAGGAAGTTGCCACTGAAATATCAGGAATAGATGCAGAACATGGATATATTCCAGCACTCCCAAAAAGGGCCTGTTGCAAGAAGCAAAAAAAAAAAAAAAAAATCTAAAAAAAAAAAAAATCACAGCCCTCAAGTGGAGGCACAGAGAGATTCTAGCAGCTACTTCCAAATACAAGCAAACTGAAAATATCCCAACTGCAAACAGATACATACTACAAAGGGTAAAGAATAAATATGTTATATAAAGGCAGACATTAGAACAAGAGCCTAATTAAAGAAAGCAAAGCAAAAATCCAAAGCATGGTGCTCAAGATTAGATATGCCAGCAAATTCAAAATTACATGCTTTCCTTTTCTTCTTCAGTTCAAGCTTGAAACATACTAATTTTTTAGAATAACTGCAGTTTGTTGTAACTAACATGAAAAAAAATCTGTCTGCTATACAGGGAAGGGATAAGGATAAAAAGAAGAGGACACAAAAGATACTGGATTAAATCACTGAAGTTAATGGCAAATTCTTCATTAAACAGTGATCTTTCTCATTCTTACCTCTATAAACAAACAAACAAATAAATAAATAAATAAATAAATAAATAAAGTGCAGAGACTGATTCTCTTCTAATCTGCACCAACTAAGTTTTCAGCAATTCCCTCAAATCTGCAAAGTGACACTGAAATAAAACTACCATGAAAGAAAAACTATTTCGTATTTTCACTGATCCTTTCATTTCCTTTTTTTCTTTTGCTTTCATTTTTAGTTTTTTTGCTCTTTCTTAACAGTTGCAACAGACACATTTTGTTACTGTCAGCCAGTAATAAACTGGAATAACTTTAACACCAGGAAACTGGGGTGAGGTCTTGTACTACTCAAGAACGGAGTTTGCCTCCACCTAAACACTTTTATAGGCTAATTACAGACTGTCTTTCAGTATTTGTTTCATTGGTATTGGTCTGCTGGTTTAGATGGATGCTTTATAGCACTGACATATCTATAAAACCTTCCAATCTGATGGATGGCTAGCTGCCTTCCAGGTAGACAACAGCAGAGAAATATTCTAAATCACTTTCTTCCAGCACAGACCCGTTGATTTGCAAGCCTTGAAATTCCTCTCATGCATCAGCTAATGCACTATCATGCCAAAGAGGAGACTTTCTTAATCTCCAGCAACTGACAGATTAGACTCTGAACATTCTTGTTATTACAAAATGAGAAATCCTTTTGTTCTCATTGTTCATGTCTAAATTCAGAATCTCCAGTCTTAGTGTTACTTTAGAAACAAAATTCTTCGGTGGTTGATCTTGATGGCTCCCCAGATTTCTACTACTTTAAAAGAAAAAAAACAAATATACCTGGCTTTGTGGTGAAAGACACAAGAATCTATAGTGTTATCTGGGGAATCAAAATGTTTGATTTCAGAGGAATGATGTTTGATGTTCAAGCCTCAGCAAAGGAATTTTTATTTCTCTCTGTTTATTAGAGAGCTGAGGAAGGTATCTGATGCTCCTGCAGGTTACAGACATTAAGGTTTTAGAGTAATTTTTGAGGACCAATGTGCAAAAGGAGGGAGTGATAATGCATGTTTTGATAGAAATATCATTCACAACATTGTACTGCTCAAAAGCATTCTGCATTAACTGCAAAAATGTGAACTACTGAATGTATAACAGCTTGTGTGCTTGCTGCATCCAATTACTCTGCACACTATTTAATTAAATTCTTTGTAAAGCACTTGTGAATGTTTGATTATGTAGATATTGCTGGGGAAATAGAAGTGCTTGTTATTGCTTGCAGAGAATAATATCCTCATATATCATAAAACTGTTACTTGAGATTTCCTGATACAGCAGTGCAGAGAGTTCCTATGTACCACTGGAATAATAGAGGGTTTCCACCTCTTGGCCTTCACAGAAACTAAATTCATGACTATGGAGTAAAAACTATACAGCTAAAATAAAATCACCAGAAAAGCCATCATGACAAAAAGGTGTTGGAACTTCAAACTAATACACAATACTGATACAATTATTCAAATATATTTGGATGTTTCTGAAATCTGTTCCTCTGTGAATCTCATTTTTCAACATTTCAGGTTTAAAAAAACTGTACATAGCTCAACAGCTTCTTTTACTTCCAAACATTTAATTAAGGAATCATAACTATGTGAGCTTACATCAAAATATAATTGCCTGACATTATTAGCAAGTATCATCATAGTGCAAAACAGAAATTAGCAATTCAACACCTAACTTGGTTACAAAGAGAATTCACATTCACTTTGAGTCTGTTTATCTATTAATTTAGAATCTGTGTAATTTGGAAAAAAAAAAAAAATTACATGTTTTTTCTCTTTTCCCACTTGGTTATAGTATTTTCCAGAAACACTCAAAAAATTCCCAAACTATGCAACTGGGGACACCATTCTTGCTTTAAATGAGAGCGGGATTAGAACTGAATAGGATTAAATGCAAAAGATCAAATTCTTTCATTTAGAGTACATTTAATTTGGGGTTCCTTCCCCCACTTTCTTTACCATCTTACTCATTTTAACAGTTTGAAGTCTGATGGGGATACTGGCATAACAGACACACATCCTTACTATACATACAAATATGAGGGTGTGTATAAACACAGACAGACAGACATCCACATGCATGAACACAATTACTGTAGATGTACTGTAATTTTGTTTTAGCAGCTGGTTGAAATATAACTAAGGGATAGATTCTGCAGGACATAAAACAGCATTAAATTTCTCATACTCAAGGCAGAAGGTAAAAAAGCACCTACTGGGAAAAAAAATAAAAAATAAAATAAAATAACTACGTTTGAAAAAAGTTAGGAAATTTTCTCTGTTATCATATATGATCAGTATCCCAAATAAATCTAAGAGCTCTGAAACACTGCAATTTTAAATCAGAATATACCGCAAGAAACAACAATTTTCTGACAAGCATCTTTACACATATATTTTCCTTAATAAAATCAGGATGCACATGAAGATAAACTGTTCACTCTGAACTCCATGTTTTTCCCTTCTAATCCCTATATTTATTACCAAAAAATGACACTAAAAATAATTTGAATCTACTTACATGCATCTCAAACATTACTTTCATGCCTTTCTTCAGAGAGGCTTTCTTCAAGATTTCAGATGTAGATTTTTTGATACTAGGTATTTCAATTTTTTGGCAGTGACCAACAAATTAAGAAAAAATATGTCTAATATCAGTTTATTTTAATCTTGACAAATGAAAACCTGAAGTATGGTTTGGCCCTTTCTTAATACTGTGTATTGCAATCAACAGATCTATTAGATCTCCCTAAAGGTCTTGTGCAACATCCTAAATGAATGCTGTACAAAAATAAGAACTATTTACTAAAGGGGTTTATATTTCTGCCATTTAGATTCTTTAATCAAAGCCATTTCTTTTATTAATAGTAAGTAGAATATGCTTTTATGAAACAGAATACTACTTAATGATTTATATAGACAAAAATGTTTTTGTGACATTTATGGCACAAGTGGCAGCCTGGCTTAAAAACCATTACACCAAACAGTAGATATTAAAAGGAAATATTCACATTGGTTACTCAGAAAGAACTCATGATAATAGCCCTTGTAA